CGACCTTTTGGTCAGAAGTCTAGGGCCGTAACCATTGTGTAACCCTCACTACAAAGGTCGCCGGCGCGTAATAATCTCATGGGAATATCAGGGCAAATAATGAACGGCTTTTGGGTGGTCGCTGGATCAACAATCCAGCATAGATTGGGAAGCCCTGGTGTGGTTTCTTGCAACAACTTAAAAGTTGACAAGATGTCCAGCCTGTACGGAATGCGGCCCTTCGAACATCATTCGGACTCTACAGAGCGAAGGGTAGCTTTTATGAAAAAAAAACTGTCTACACCATAGTCGCGGGTGAATTCTAACCTCAGACTCCAAAGCAGCTGCTTCTTTGAAGGGACTGCATGTAACAACAATCGGTTCTGCCTCGTACGGCTGTCAGCTGACGGGGAAAGGGTTGCTTTATCAGAGGACGACAATGACTTACCCTTTTTGTAGACGGTCCGTTTGGCCTTTACTTCCGTCTCTAATTCAGCGGCCTTGACCCAGATGCGTACGGACTGCGGCAGGTGGCGAATAGCCTGAGCCACAATCGACTTGGCCTGTTCGGGCGGTGAGAGACGAGCTGCCTCCAACCAAATGTCCTCCGAAGTGGGGCACTCTTCGCAGCCACGCATTATAAGATTCCGAGCAATCTAATGGCAGGAGAAAGAATAGGCAGCGTAATCAACATCAAGTGCTTATTTAAAATGTGGACAATGACGCAATATGCGACCCGAGTAAGGGTAATGGTTACACTAGCTACTCATTTTGTCACAGTAGGTGTTGTTTTAAATTTTCAAAAATTCCCACTGTAAATTTCAGAAGATAAATTGGCGAACATACGTTTGTTTTCGGTACATTCTCGTCAGGCGTGTACATTTATATCCCATTAACTAAATACGCTATGCTGGTTGGGATGTTTATCTTCGCTTCGGCTCGGTTGGTTTAGGCTCCTGTTGACTGAGCCATGAGAGCAATGAGAGGCAGCAACTGAAGAGCTCTCTCGGAATGCCATGGATCTAATAAATCTTGCTGTTATTGATATCTCTAAAAATGAGCCATTACCCTCATTCTTCAACTTCGGACGCGGAATTGGCGCTAATGCATTGGTTTCTTCTACGGACGATTAACTGTTCTCGCGTCCACCGGGCTGTGGGGCACACGGTGAACATCCTCGGAAGCGAGAATCGAACTGTCACATCAGGCTGGATAACTCTCCTCCGGGCAGCCGATACACTCTGCATACTACAACGATGTGTAGTACGCTCCTAATGTGTACGCTTCCAAGCCACGAGTTAGGATACTCATAGTGCTGGACATAATCTCCATCAAGATGACGAGGAAGGGGAGAAGCCGCTTCAAACATTTTCAGAAGGGAACATTGGTCAGGTGCGATAACAAACGAAGACTAATACATCTACAAAAACAGAGAAGGCGTAAGCGCAGTCGTGTTTCAGGTTTTCCTGAGCTACCATAAATCCCATTTACTGTCGGTTTAAAACCTTTTCCTGAGAAACGCATTTAGGCTGCTAGCCAAACTACTCTGGTCTAGCTCAGACATCAGCTTGCGTACTAAGCTTTTGATATATAGAGCATCCATCCGACCGCTGTTCGTAAATGCCTGCGAAACACGGCCAGTGAAAAAGATAAACATTCTATCGCTCGAAGTCTCCTAAAAGTTCCCTGGCAAGATCGAAATCTAGCATCATACATCCAACCTCGCCGATTACAATGGTTGACCTATGTTCTGTGCAAGCCATCGACGGACCTCCGCAGATAGGTCGTGAACCCCTCTCGTAGTGCAAACTAGAAATACCGACACGGCGGTCAGCTGAAGACGTGGCTCAACACTGTCAAGTCAGACGTCGAACGCATGGGCCTCGTAACAGTTTACGGCTTGTGACAATGGAACAAGCGCTGGATTGACATCTGCGAGGAGCTCGTTTCCGATCGGCGCTGTCCGTGACATCTGTGAAGCCGATTCATCCAACAACAGTAGTTAATCGGATCAAGTAGTAGAAGTAATAGTAGGCACTTTCCTGAGAAATTATCTGTAGTACTTGAGAGGTGAACCGCAGACTAATACAAAAAAACCATATTAATAATTAAAATTACCTGTAATTTTCCGGCGATCTCCTCAAGTCGAGCTGAGGCAATCCAACCGGGAGGGTGCTTCGGGTTGGTTTCTCGCACTGATTTGAGCAGCAGGCGAGCCTTCTTGATGTCATTAATGTCGCCGCTGTGTTGCGGGATCATGGACTGAAGGTCGGTCAAGTAGCCCTTGGGGTCAACAACCGTCTGGCCGGATACGCTGTCTGAAACCTAAGAGACAAATTTCCAGTTATAAAGTGGGAATTATGCTGCTGAGTCCACAGGTGTGTGTCAAGGGATGATCTTAAAGAAGTAAGCAGAATTGCCATGCCAAACACACAGTCAGTTTGCAGTCCTGACTGCCATCAAAAAACTGTAGAAGCTGCGCCTCGGACGGACTAATTACCAATTCTAGGAAGAATGACACCAACCATTCGCAGAGTACTGGATACTGATAAATTGCACTGCATACGACGTTTAAGGTAAGAAGGCCTAAGCCCTACACTTAAAAGCATGCCCAACAAGCTTTCCAATTGTGCTTTCACTCTTTGTAGGCGTTCAGCTATTTCGAAGAATCTGACTTCGGGGGACTTCCGTTCATCCCCTGCAATACAAG